GCACGCACACATACATAGACAGACAGACAGACAGACAGACAGACAGACAGACAGACAGACAGACAGACAGACAGACAGACAGACAGACAGACAGACAGACAGACAGACAGACAGACACACATGCACGCACACATACACAGATGCATACAGACAGACAGACAGACAGACAGACAGACAGACAGACAGACAGACAGACAGACATACATACACGGATGGCCGGCCATGCTTGCTGCCAACACTAGGAAGGGGCCGCAAACTGGCCCCGGGTGGGCAAAACTGAACTTCCGGTGTGCTGGCTCGAAAGCCTGCAGGACTGGGCTTGGGGCTTCAGGGTAGGCTGTTCACTGGCTGTTCGTAGAGAGCTCTGGACTTGAAACAGAAGATCCTGCGGCGTTCACGAAGAAGAAATTGTCGGTAATTGTGGGAAGTCATATTACGGTGCAACCGTAATTCAATACGAGCATATAGCTGTTATTCATGATTTTTTTGTGACGGGGGTGCTTGTGTTTGCATTGCTCCCATCACCTCAATGCGGGTGGCGCAACCTCTTCGCGCCAAGTGTCAAGTACGAGAGGAGGAAATCCCGGACGCGCAGGACGAACGCCTGCTCTTGCCGAGGTGTGGGGTTGGGGATTTCCTGTTTGTGACCAGACAATGTGTTTTCTGACTGTAGTCACTGTCACACCCGGCCTTGCTAAACTTGGCAGAACCGAACTGTGAAGGCACTAACCATACATCCACAGGCCGTCGAGGTGTTTCTGAAGAAGCAACCCTCTGTTCATCGGTTTCCCAATTTCCTAACAGACACAAACACAAGGCCAGCGTGAGATGCACCCTGCCAGCAGATCAGAAAGCGCCTCAAAGATGGCCAACTACAGCCTGAACTTGAAAGAGCCGCAAAACCTTTAGCCATCCAATGCTCATACCTGCCAAAGTCTTAAGGCTGACGGATGTAGACTGGCCTGCGTCACAGAGATTATTACTTCGGGATGTCTCTGCATGCGAAACCGTGCAACCGAGATGTCCGGCTGGGCCGCAAATGAGCATGTTTCGGCTCGGCAAGTTACTCTGCGAGCACTATGCTACCGAAACCCGACAAGACATTGCACAACCCAGTGTGAGCTGCGAGCTGAAGCTGAATCTGATTCCTGGCTTCATGGACAGGTTGGTCCGTATGGGCTCGGCCCTCAGCTTAGAACTTGAAACCCAAGCTCGCAGCCTTGCAAATGTTGGCTTGGAAGGGCTCGACACAGACGCAGGTATTCCAAGGTGCTGGAATGGATCTGATGCCTGAGGACCGGGGTGGCGATCTGAGGTGTGTTCAAAGTGAGCCTCACTCTATGGCTAGAGATGTTTGGGCTTGAAGGGTTGGGAACAACTGGAACCTTGCAACGGCCTTATTAGACTGAGGTCATGGAGTTATCCTTGTGGCTGGAAGGATCAAGCCCTGCACCATTCAACCCCAGGCTGGACATTGTGCTGCCATGCCCATGTCTGCGACACACTGTCCCCACCTTTCTTGCCCCACGGCGAGTTTCGAACCTCCTGCATGTGCTGCGAGGACTGGAAAGGTCAATGCATTGTGTTAACCAACAGCTGCCTACAAAGGGGTATGACATTGGTGCAGCAAGAAGCTGTCTTGATTCTTGCTCATGGATCTCAATGCTTCGATAAGTGCTTCCTTCTCGCGCGACACTCACATTGAGTGCTCGTAGAGGCAAGTGTATCTGCAATTGCTTCAATGTATGTAGGTGCACTTCGTAGGTATGTCTGCATGTATGTTTGCAGCTGCATGCATGCACAGATGGATGGATGGGTGTACGTAGGACTGCATGTATGTATGCATGTGATTGTGTGTATCTGTGTGCGTATGCATGTATGTGCGCACTGTGTGCTTGCATGTTTTCGCTTATTTCGGTTTACATAACTTCATGATACTTCATGAATGCATACATACGGCAGACATTGACAGACAGATCGAGACGGACAGGAAGCAAGAACGGCACAAATCAAGCAATGAATAACGACAGAAGGAACAACTGCCTGCAGAAGGACAAAAATATCTGCAGACAGAAATATTTGCATGAAGAAACCAACATGGGACATAAATAAACGACAGAAATATGGCACTACACGAAGAAATAAAATAAATACGAACAACAAACGACAAGTTTACCAGTACAAGCCCAGAGAGAAGACTGCAATTAAAACAAACTCCAGCATCATTAGATAAGGGTTTGGGGTCCACTATACTATAACAACTATAATAAGGAACCCCCCCAAACCCTAGTCTACTTATTAAGGCTGCAGATTGCTCGCTCCTCGTCGGTCATGTCTTTGCGATGCAGTCTGGCCGCACCTTGCTTCTTGGGGGCGGGGGTGGGGCCTGGTAATGTAGGGGCCTTCATGATTAGAATAAGGTTTTGGGGGTTGCTTCTTTTAATTATAGTTTAGTGACTTATAGTGGACCCCCAAACCCTTTCTAATTGTCACGGCCCCTAAAAGCCAGTGGACCCCCAAACCCTATCTAATTATTAATCTATATTAAGCCGAAACAGGCACATATGAGCTGGCAGCAGGGGACATGACTCGGCATCTACAATGAATTGTGGTGCAGAGCAGAAGGACTGTAAGGGAGACCCTAAACCCCAAACCCTAAACCCCAAACCCTAAAAGTTGAATTGCGACTGAACCTTGGCATCTTGTGCTCGCCTTCTGGATTCCATGTCAGGAAGCTGCTGAGAACCGCAGTCTTGCTTGAAAGTCCCGTCGTCAGAGCTTGTGCTTCTAAAGCATATACTGTGCACCAGCACGAGGTTTCCTCCTAGTTACGTAAAATGAATGAATATCCCAGAAGCGACTTTGCCAGCCGGGCCTCTTCCAGGTTGTTGCGGGCATTTATTCTTCTCGCGCCAAGGCACGCAGCTGAAACACGGGCCGCATCTTGTCCTGGCCCGCTTTCTCGAACTTCTCGGGGCCTCGGCGTTGGATCCGGGTGGCTGCAGGTAAGGATGCAAACCTACGGCTCAACAACGATCCCAAACACATGCTCCGACTGAGAGCTTTTAGAGGGCGACTCTGTTACACATGAAGAAAGTTCACAACCAGCCTCCAACTGTCCAGGCGAAAAACGTACTGATCAGGCGGAGAATCCCTGATCCCGAAAACTGAAACTGTAAACCCAACTCCAAGCCTTCACGGAAACCCGTCCTTCGCAAGCAGCTTACCTTCAGATGTCCATAAAGTCAAGCTGAAATGACAACATTTAATATTTAACGAAGCCAGAGAAAGAAATGCCAATTTGTAGGATATCCTCCCCAAACCCCCACCCCTAAACCCTGTCATCCTGCGTGGAAGGTGCTCATTCGCTTCCGGTCGAAGGCGAGAAAGGAACGCAGCTCCGGACCCTCCTCTCAAACAGGTGTAATTAAGCTTGTGGTTGCTACTCGAACTCTTCGCCAACCCAAACTGCAACCACTAGTAACAAAGCACCGCACCGACCATGTCGAACAATATCATGTTTCATCACACCAGGAGCCCACCCGTCATCTTTAACAGCAACTCACGACGGGTTCGGATAGGCATCGAAGGTGTCAGCCACGTGATGGGGTGTATTCGCAGACCAACCAGCAAAAGCAAATGAAACCATTATAGGCCGTGAACCCTGCATCCAGAAGCCTTATATAAATTTGCCCTTAACCGCAAAAATCTAATTAAGACTCTAGGCCTCCCTGAGCCCCTAGAAAGTCTAGTCCGACAAATTCAACACAAAACCTCCCGAAACCCTAAACCGTTCACTCCTTTGGAGCGGCGGAGAAAACTGCGCTGGCTTCCGTGACCTGACCGGAAGCTGCAGGAACTGTAGTATGCGGTTTAGGGTTTAGGGTTTAGGATTTTTCTACCCATAGGCCCACACATTCCTTCCTTTTTGGGATTACCTAATAGGATCCTAAATATAAGCCACAAAAAGGAACTACTATGGGTAGACCATAAGCCTTATAGCTTTATAGTACCCTCATGCATCCCCTGAAAGAACTCCCCCCTGAGAGAACTCTGAAAGAAACCCTTAGCCTCTGTTGTAGTTTCTGCCGGGGACTTTATATGTGTATGTATATGTATGTATATATATATATATAGTGGACCCAGAAAGTTGGAGCATGAAATTAGGACGATGGGTGTTAGGATGCCCTATAGTTGAAAGGTTTAAATAAATTTAAATTTGCAGGAACGGCTTCACTGGCAGCCTCGCTCTTTGTTGCACATAGACAATCAACTATTGCATGTAGAAAAGTAATAAAACAAACAAACAAGCAGCTTCGGGTAGATGTACGTAGGTGGGCAAGCATGCATATTCGCGTTTTCTGCGTTTGTTACATACAGACTTGAAAACTACCTGAACCGAGGGTTTTTGGGGAGTGTGAGGTTTTGGCTGAGGTTTCAGGATTGAGGCTTTTGGCTTGAGGGCTTCATGGGTTTACGGTGCAGGTTTATGCCATGGGCAGGTAGGGGGCATACATCATACATCCACAAAGATGCAGATCCTTACATACCCACAAACCTCTATCTACTCGTGTCCAAAGCACGAAGTGTGTACATATATACACCCATGTTACAGCTGTATGGGCTCACATGAAAGTCGTAGACGCAGTGCGCGGGCTGTACAAATGAAAGCTGCACGAAACGAAGCCACGAATCTGAGTACCGAGAGAGAAAGAGGAAACATGTGGACACACAGGTGGAGTAAAATAACTACAGACACGGCATGCATTTGTGCCTGTGGGCGAAGGTATCTTATTTGCTCAGCTAGGCCCCATGACACTCCGAGAGCCGAGTGCCCGAACTGCCTTTCGGGGATTGCGTTCCGGCAAAAAAAAAACCTGCTAGAATAAAGTGCCCATGGGATTCAGGACCATCATGAAAATAGTGCAAATGCAATGGCTCATCCTTAGTCACCAAATGGCAAAAAGCTACGTACCGTCTCGCCGCTTCCACAGCCGTTTGTCACAATGTCGCTTCTGTCACCCAGGAGCACCTGTCCTGCCAAGCCAGCAACCCAAAAGCATGGCTTTTGTGCCCACAACGAGACTTACACCATGCCGGTGACACACCGACGGCGAACCGAAAAAGAGCACCAGCATCGCTTCGATACCTTCCCTTTGCGGAAAGGACGCCTGAAGACTGAAGGCCGGGTGCTTGTGCAGCCTCAGATACTCATTCGAGAACATCCTCAAGGCAAGCTGCGACCGCGGCTACTACGACGAAGACTACCAACCATTATGGGTTATGATTACGGCAGCCTATTCGGCCTATTCCTACTAAGACTACTTCTACTGCCACTACTACTAC